TAAAAGCTGGTGAGTCAACAACTAAAATAAAGAGGGTTTCTTCAGAACTGACCTATACATTCAAATGGAATGTTTTAAGCCAAGGAAGAGTTGTACTGCTTAACCTTAAGCTATTAAGGAAATTGGTCTGTAATTAGTACTCCATTACAAAAATAGTCATGCATTTTAAAAGAAATTATATAGTAATCCACAGTATCTTTAATTTTGGTTAAAGCTGAAGCAGAATGAAATAATCAAATATGGCAACTGTGTAATTTGTCAATAACTTTAATATTTCAATAACTAGTAGGCACCTAAGCTTCTGCAGTCTCAGTGCTGAGTTGGTACCACTACCATTAAAATATTATATTAAAAAGGCACACAGGCATGCACGCACACTGAGAACATGAAGACAGGTTACACTGATCATCAAATGAAAGATTTACTGTTTCCTTAGAGGACCTCTCATTTCTTTGTTTTTCATTTGTTTGTTTTTCCTTCTGCAAAATGTAAATTAAACTCTAGCTCCCGATTTAAAAAAAAAAAAAAAAGTGGAATGAATCCACCTTGAGGAAATACTCCAGAAGCAGTTCCATTAAGCCACCTAAAGCTACTTGTGGAATCAGGCTGTGCTTGCAAACACGTACTCGTTGATGATTAACTGCCATTTATTCTCTAGAGCTACAACATTCCCACAGACATACATTCCTGCTACTCATCTGTTTGGTCAAGTTGCGTTTTGTGCTGGAAAGAAACACCCTCTATGTATAAATTAAGAGGGAACAAAAATACTCTTCACTTTCAAACTTCTCTGGCCTTGCAAGTGGTCCCTCAAAAACTAAGAGAAACTGACATCATAAATAGAAAAAAAAAAGCCTTTATTACGACCGTACTTACTCTTCATGACAAGGGAATTCACTTGAGCAGTGTGTCAAGTAATTTGTATTTTGGACTAGCAGCTCTACACAAATGGAAAGATACTGGTTTTGATTACACAATGTAATAGTGTTAATTCAACAAACAAAACCCTTGTCCATGAAGAGACTAAGTCACTTTTGCTTAAGTAAGCAACAGTGAGGGAAAAAGCCAAGAACCTGCACATAAATCATTACTTTCCAGAACATGGCACCAATATTAAGAAAACTTTGAGAAATAATCTGTTGGTTTAGATCAGGAATGTGTTTCACACAAAACCTCCCTGCTTCATATATCCATGGTGGTCATACCACTGTACCTTTACACTGCAATTTACAGCATCAAATGCTGATGATAAAGGTCACAACTGGTTTACCTTTTCTTGGTTTTAATTAGAAATACGCCGTAGAGTCAAAGTTGCAGTAATCTTATCCAACCCCACCGCATTATCTCAGAAGCAATGTCACATTCACCACTGTGGTCTACCTCAACAGCCTAATTATTCTGTCCACCTAAGGAAAGAAAGAAAGAAAAGCCTGGCCAAAAAAAAAAAAAAAAAAAATCAAAAAACAAACAAAAAAAATATTTTCAACAGAGATTGGCATTGTGCAGCCTCTAAACCAGATGCTATGGAGAACTCAGACTGCCAACTCTAGCTGTCTTCAGGGATGTTCATTTTCAAAGGAAAAACTATGGAAGAATGACTTTGCTGTTTTGCACCTCCAACCCACACTTGATTACTTTTAACAAATTTCCAAACACACACATAGCCCACCACACTGTTTTGTTTGTTATTCACCGCTTATTTCAAAGATGGACACCATTTATTTTAAAGGTGTGTTAGGTACTGGGTACATCACTCTGCCTTTACTCTTCACCTGTAAGGGCAGGTGGCAGCTAGTTCATACAGTCCTCACATAACGGGCACAAAACTCTGAAGTGTTCTAGAGGAGGCTTTTCAACAACACAGGTTTATGTAGCAGCTTTAGATACCGCAGTGACAAGATGGGACAAAAGTTGCATCAGAGAAGCAGCATGAAAATTGGGCAGAGAGACGGAAGCAGGCATACAGTGTGGTACTTATAGCCTCTTCTCCACCAAGCAGGCCAAGCCTTTTAGTACTTCTAATAAGTATGTCGAGATGGTTGAATGACCAAATTCCCTTGTCTGCACATAGGTGCCTCAAAAGGAAAGGCCTATCAATCACTGTCACTCACAGCAACGATTTTGGCTGAGTCCAAAGAAGTCAACAGAAGTGGCTGTATGTGCTACACCTCCAGGTCCTTGCACAACTAGGCAGCTCAGCAATTACTTCCTAAAGCACTTGTGACCAGCATCTGACAGATACCAGGGTGGAGGAAAGGCTGCTGCTCCCACTGCCTGCCACGCTGGCTCTGGACAGCCACCCATGCTGTCTGGCCATGCTTCATGACAAACCTCCTCCCAGCCCAACCTCCCCACCCTCACATTTTGAAACCACAGAGACAGAAATGATCCACAGGGCTCACCTCAAAACCTGCCCGTTTGCCACCGTTACAACCGGCGGCCCCAGCGCCTCAGTGCGGCCACGATCCACCTGGCCCAGTCCCCACAGCCGCTCTGGGGAACAGACTTAAAGGCAGTGAAGCCATTTCCCATGCCAACAGCTGACTAATAAGACATTTTAGGTGGGAACATCATTTGCATCTGTTGCCAAGAGCAGTGTCTGCTTCTAGCACAGTAACAAATGTCTTTTCCCCTTGCTCTCTTGTATGTCCTGGACTACATTACATGATAAGCAACACGCATGCAGCAAGCACGGTGCAACAGAAAGATTTTAACGCTGTTCTTTTAACAGAGAAGCTTTTGTGTCTTCACCATACAGCAGTCAGTGTTTCAAAGCTCAGTGACGCTCTTCTCTGTGACCGCTTGAAACACAAACCTGCAGGAAAGGTGCACAGGAGGGATTTCAGCAAATAGTTTGCCACAGGGCCCCTCTGGCTGCTCACTGTTCAAGTAACCACTGCTGTGCAACAGCCTATTCTCTTGCTCTAACTTTTCTAAGCCTTTCTATGTTAAGCAGCAAAACCTTATTCAGAAACATAGATGCAGCCTGGCAGTTGGTTTCAGATACTCTTGTTGCAACTTATTTCTGAAGCAAGCAGTAACATTAAGGGACTGCTTTAAAACCTGATATGTAAATTATGTCTTTGCCAGCTGCTTTACACCAAGTTGGACAAAGTATTATAAGACTAGAAATTAAAACACAGATTTCTAGAACTGGAAGCAAATTAAATTCTGCCCTTCTTCAAGTAACACAGCACAGACTCAGAGAAAACATTTAAGGGTTAAAACTGGAATAAAAACAAGTAACACAGCAGGCAGTGTCTGGGGTCACGAAACTACTCAAGGAGTGGTTTCAGCTCAGGGCCTTCAACAATTCAGGCTTCTCATGTTTAAATTAAGAAGATCTAAGATCTTCCTGCGTGAACATCTATATATAAATGTACCAGTGCTTCCTAGCACCGTAATTTGTGTAGCATATTTATTATTTATACAGATGTAGCAGTTTATTTTGGGTTTGCTGAATCATGCAGTGCTGTCTGGACTACACGCTATACTTTTCACACCTTTGAACACCAGCAAGATGCAGGACTAAAGAAAAATCCTTACCATGCTAGCTATTACTTGTATCAACTTGAGATCCTGCATCTCAAGTATGAGGTTGAAAAAGATGCATTATTTTAATAGATATGTTTAAGAAATCTCAACTGTGACTGCAGTAACTGATTTCCAAAGGAGCCTGACTTGCAATACCACTGCCCTGAAGACAGAAGCTCAACTATTTACCCAAAACTGTCCCCCTAGGCTGCACCACCAAGGGACAGTGAACACTGATCAGTAATGCTCACACTCCCCTAACAGACCACCAACTACAGCACATACCGCAATCTTCAGAGAAATCCTCTAAATGACCAAAAGCAGCAAAACATTCAGAAAACTGGGAATAAGAAATTCATTGAGTGGAATCTGGTCTCCATCAGCACCTTTTTATTTATTTATTTATTTTTCACTAATTATCAACCAAGCTTTGTTCAAAATAAAAAAAAAAAAAAAGGTTCCTCTTGCACATCAGAAGAAAATTAATCTCGGTATTAAAAATAACTTGATTACACTCTTGAGTAGTTTACTTGAGTAGTATGCCAAGAAATTAAACTATTTTGGATTTCATGTGGTAATGATCTAGAGGGATGAAATACCTTTGTACGAAATACAGATTCTAAAACAGCATTAGAGCAAGAGATATGTTCTGGTATATAGCTGGGCATACATGTTCTTGGACACCTCTCTGAGGGAATTTCCTGTATACATTCTTTTATTTACATGATGAAGATAAAATTTCCCTCTGTCTTTTGAATCCTTAAAGTGACTACAAAACACAACAAGCCAACAAGCCCCTACGGGACAGGAAGGAGCACGGAAGCCTCCAGCTGACTTTTGCACGACGTAGGAAACTTCATCAGCGTTTGCTACAGTTCAAAGAAGCGACTGACGGTATGCTTTCCCCAGCCTTGGAAAAACATGTTCATCAACACCTTGTCTCACGGAAAGGGAAGAAGAGGAGGAGGGAGGAGGTGCAGGACGGGGAAGAAGGAAAAAAGTCATGGACATTCACTTCCCATTATTTTAATTATTTTCTTCCCCAGGGGGGATTATGCATCTACGACCCACCTCGTCAGTTAAATTACCTTCAGCCAAGCGGTTCCCCCCGACAGCAGCCGGGGAGCCCTGCTCCCGCCGGCGTCGCAGCCTCTTTCCGCACCGCCGGCCCCGCTCCCGCGTAGCATTTTTAAGTGCGGGGTGAAGGAAGCAATCGGGGTTAAAAATAACTAACTGGGAAACCGGCGGCTCCCAGCCACCGCACCCGAGACGGGAGGTCTTTCCCTTCCTGGCAGACGTTATCGACCCGGGAGACACAAAACCGCCGGTACCGCCCGGCCAGCAGCGCATCCCCGCCGCCGCCACCCTCGCTGCGCCCGAACACGCCTCTCACAAGCGGCCGGTCCGCGCGGGACCGCGCCGCAGCACTTCACCACCGCACCCCCGACCCCTACATCGCACCTCACCTGCGGGGCCGGGGCCCTGCCCGGGGTGCCTCTCCGCCGCCGCCAGCAGCGCCAGGGCCAGCAGCAGCAGCGGCAGGAGGAGGCTCGGCGACCGGGCGCCGCTCCACGCCATCTTCCCCCTCCGCACCCGCCTGCCTGCCGCCGCTCCCCGCGCCACCACCCCCCGAGAGGAGGGGTGGGGGGAAAGGAGGCGGGGGATGGAAAACGAGGGGGAAAACCCGGTGCCTGCGGCGCCGCTCCTCCTCCGCAGCGGGCAGGAGCGAAGGGCGCTGTCTCCCGGCCCAGGCTTTATACGGCGGTGGGAGGACCCGGGCAGCGAGGGCACCCGCCGGCGTAACAGGAGCCCCTTGTGGCGCCGCTCCCGGTACACGCTGCAGCTCCCGCTGCAGCCGCCGGGGGAGGGACCAGCGGCCAAGCCCCGCCCCGGCCTCCGTCGCCCGGGCCGCCGCCGTAAATTCGCAGGGCTGCACGAGGTCCCGCGCCTCCGCAGGGATGAAGCGGAGTCGGTCGGGTCTGGCTTGGCCCGGCGCGGAACCGCCAACTTTCGGTACCTGTCGGGGAGAGGGGCCGAGGTGGCCTTTCCGACCCGCTGCTGGAAACACTCCCGACGTGCTGGATACGTGGGGAATACTTGCCTCCCGCTGCAAGCGTTTTGTCAGTGGTTCCGCTGCCCACCATTATGTCCTGATAAGCATATTCCTGAAAAATGTTCGGGAGATTGGGCAGCTGAAGCCATTAGTTCATTCTATGATTCTATGGGCCAGCAAAACCAATCTGACCCTTTTGTGTATGGGCAGAGAAAGCAGGTCATGAGTAACTGCAAGAATTGGAGGGTCTTTTCTGTTTCTCCTATAGTTAGCAACTGCAGCTTCAGCATCGCACAATTACATTTTCAGTGTTTCCTAACTGCTGCTTTCACAGTCCTTCTCGCTTGTAGGAGCTCCTTTGACTGAGGACTCAGTCCTTTTCTTTGGTTTGCTTTACCTTCATCCCTGCTGTGTGTGCTGCTTGGTCCAGAAAGAATGAGCTTTCTCAATTAGCCGTAAAAGCATGTGGGCACATAATGCAGGCTCTGATTTCTACTGGGTTCTAAACAAAAGCATGGAGCTCTTATGGTTGCAGTAGCCAAGGTCAAATTTTGCCGCCTTTTCCCCTTTATTCTTTCCTCTGTGACTCCAAAAAAGCACATCTGTTAGGCCCATAGAGGCATTTAGGATAAAAAATGAGGTGTCTATTTGACGATTATATAGGTGGATCTCAAATACATGAATCCTGCTTTCAGCACTAATTTTTGTTTTGGATTATGCCCTTGGTCCTCAAATAATATTTCCAAGGTGTAAATCCACACAGATTCCAATAACCTGCCATCTGCTTTTATAATTTTATATGACTTCCAAGCATCTAAGCTATTGTTTATGGTATTTTTTTATTTTGAATCTACCTTGTATTGCAATAAGAAAGAGTGGAGGTGGGCCAGTACACTTCCTTCATCATCAGTATCTTAGGGCTTGTCTTCAGTAATTTGGTGATTCATTGGGCGTTTCTTTAATGATAAAAGTGTAACAGCTTTGTGTGTTGAGATTAAGCCAACGAACTGTTTCTTTTGTGGAAATCTGCCAAATAAGGAGTGTTTGACAGGCAAGTCGTCCACAAGCACTGTGGATGCGCAGTGTGGTCCCTACACCAAAAGTGATCATAGACAAGATGACCACATTTATGCACACATCCATGAATGGCCTCTGCTCACTCTTCCAAGAACCAGCACTACTGCTGCAGATCAACTTACATAGGTATGTAGACTGCATTAGCTGAAAGCAAGCAATGCCGTGACTGGACAATACTGCAAGTACTTCTTCTACTACATATATATATATTATTTTTTTTAACAAGTTTAAGAAATGGGACTATGAAAAACAAAGGTGGAAAGAATAGTTACTAAATCACAGCTGTAGTTTTCAGATAGCAAACAGGTAAACAAGCATTTCAAAAGAGGTCTGCAACAGAACAAACCTCACCTCAGATCCAGAACAGCTTAACAGTAACACTTGAAGATGTAAAGAAAGTATAATTACAAGGCTGAAAAAATAAAAACTTATGAGGAGGAATTAAATCCCAAGAGACATGCAGAGCACACTTACTACCATCAACTATGAAAGAAATGACAGATTTCTTCAATAAAGTCTGAGGGGAAAAAGACAGGACTGTTTGGCACCATTGCAGAATGCCATGGTGATGATGTCATGGCTCCCATGGACAGGACAGGAAGCAGATGAAGCTTCAGCCCTGCAAATTTAGAATAAATCAGCTGAGTATCACGCACATGCACAGGGCCCTGAGAAATCACAGCCCAACACCTCAACTCTGTCATAAGCAGCTAGTTTCACCAGACACTAATACAGAGGTCCCGAAACAGCCCTATTAGGTGGAAACCAACAAGCATACAGAAGAGGGAGCATCTGAGAGAAACCCTAAAAGACATTTTATTAATCACAAAGTACATGTAAGGAGCAAGGACGAATGAAAAGCATTAGTGAAGGAGGGCTGTAAATACGCAATAATGAAAGAAAAGGAAATAGCTGGCAAAGACAGATTTCTAATGCATGAGCAAAATGGGTTGAGAGAACTGTGATCCAAATGCAGCTCGTACCTGTAAGTGCAAGCCCAGACTTTTGACTATAAATTTTTACGTTTTATAGTTTTTCTTGATCTCTTGAAGGCTAATGTCATTTTCAGCTCTTCTTAGAAAATACAGCCTTTGCTCCCAGAGAGAAAGCAGAGCTGAAAGTTACTCAAAACACTGCTTTCAAAGTGACAGATGTGGCCAAAACATCTCCTATCCCCAGAGGCTTTAGTCAAACATTGGCCGATGGAAGGGAAAATGCTTGTGAAACTTCAGAGCAGAGCAACGCCAGCTGTGCAGTGCCCAAGGGCTCTGTCTTGCCCTGCCTCCACAGGCACTTGGGTTAGAAAAGCTACTTTTGTCCAGAAATACCAGCTTCAAGGCCTGAACTGGCAACTGGTGGTTAGCAGAGTCTTCAGCACTCCTAATGCTGTTGCAGGCTGCTTCAGTACTTAAAAACTGTTCTAGAGTACTGAACACTTAAATCTCTGAAGTGCTCAGTAGGAAGATACCCTCAAATCAAAATAATTTTAAAGAATAACACAGTGTGTAATGTAATATGCAAGTATGCTCATATGCTACAGAGGTCTCCTCCAGAAAAAATTCCTACAAATATCCCAAAAAAGTCTCATGTTCTTGCTATTATCACTGTTCGCTCCTTTGACTTTTGACATTATTAACCCTTTTTCCTTTTCCTTTGCAACAAGGCAATTTCTTCATGAAAGATAAATCACTTTGGTTAAATAGGCATGGAGGAGGGAATCGAGTTCATTACTGTTAGTTGAACACTGGAGCCCAAGGGGTTTTCTTGTGCTGAAAATCCAGCAATAGTGAGCAAAACCAGGAAGGGAGCAACTGGTAGCAGTCATCACTTCAGAAAGTCGCTGTGAAAAGTAATTTCTAACCTCTGTGCTGGTTTTGGCTGGGATAATTTTCTTCGTAGTATCTGGTATGGGGCTATGTTTTGGATTTATGTTGAAATCAGTGTAGAGAATAAAGGGACGCTTTAACTGTTGCTGAGCAGTACTTAACACAGAGCCAAGGCCTCTTCTGTTTCACATACCACTCCATCAGTGAGTAAGCTGGGGGTGCACAAGAAGGTGGGAGGGGACACAGCCAGGACAGCAGACCGCAACTGACTGAAGGGATATCCCATACCTTATGACATCACATTCAGCATATACAGCTGGGGGAAGAAAGGGGACACAAACACACACACGTGTTGGGAGTGATGACATTTGTCTTCTCAGTAACTGTTATGTGCGATGGAGTCCTGCTGTCCCTGAGATGGTTGAGCACCTGCTTTCTGACAGGAAGTGGTGAATGAATTCCTTGTTTTTCTGCAAATTTCCTGCTTTGTGTGCACAGCTTCTGCTTTATCTATTAAACTATCTTTATCTCAACCCATAAGTTTTCTCAGCTTTTACTCTACTGATTCTCTCCCTCATCCCAAAGTAGAGGAGAATGAGTGAGAAGCTGTGTGATACTCTGGTTGTCAGCTGGGGTTAAACCACAACAACCCCACAGTCAAGTGCCAGATTAATTTTTAATTTTTTTTTCAGACTCAGTGCATTTTCTACAGATCAGCAATAATACCTGGAATTCAGCTAGCAGATATTTGGGCAAAATTCTACAGGACCTTTGCAGGAGATAACAGCTTCCTGAATTGTTAGTAATCCCCATTCCCTTGGTGCCTTTTCCTCAGACGTCTGAACAGTTCTTTTACAGTCTCAGTAACCCCCTGTCTGTATCTGCCCATCCCTATCTCCTTTTCCCCATCTCTTTCCTAATTGCCTGTCAGGATTCATCATGGGGTTGGCAATGTCCATCTTCCCCAAACCACAAATAATTTTCTATTTCAAAATGCATATAGCTAGTGCCACATGGAATGGAAGCAGATGTAGTTCATTACATCGCCAGCCTGTCACTGCAGCCAGAGGCAGGTAAGTCCTGTCATAGCAAGCTGCCTTCTATAAACTAGAGAAGCTTCTTATAAGAGAGCTTTTTCTCATCCTCTAACTACTCTTCATTTCACTGTATTGAAAAAAAACCCACACGGTCCATGCTCCTGCTGTGCTGTGTCTGTCCTTGAACTCATCTCACCTTGCATCTGGAGCCCCACTAAAATACTTTTTCCACAGATGCTAAAATGGAGCAGTGTTGGGCGCACAAGCTTACTTCCCTAATCTTATAATCATAGAATAGTAAGGGTTGGAAGGGACCTTAAAGATCATACTGAAATTGTTCATTATACAGAAATAAAAACAAAAGAAAAATAACAACATTGGTCTGTGGAGAGCCATGGGACAAAACGAATAGTCAACAATTTACCAGCAGCAGTATTCCAAGAATAAAATAAAATAAAATTAAAGTAAAATAAAATAAAAACCATAGTCATGCAAGTATCCTAAGTCCCTTACTTCAATACAGATCATAAACATTTTTCTGACAGACAATAAATTTGACATATAATGACCAAAAGTCTATGTTGTCTGGACAAAAGTCAGTCATTCTCCGTATATTTTCAATAGCAGCAGTCATTAGTCATTTGTTACGAAGAACAAATTAATTCATCTCCCATTCTATCCTAGCTTTTCCTCTTAAATATCTT